TTCAAACAATTCACAGGAAATAGGAAAAAGACAGAAACCAAAAGCAGAGGAAACAAACAAAAAACTACAAAATAAAAGGAAACTTTCTTGAGTCTGTATGTTTACATCTTTTGCCAAATTTCAGAAAATTTCAGTCATTATTTAAGTCCATTTAGAGTCCTCCTTCTATTCTTCAAGGACTCTGATGGCAAGAATTTTAGACCTTTTGTTATGATCCCACAGATCCCTGAGGCTTTTTGTTTAAGGCTCTTCTCTCTAACTTTAGATTATTTTGAGTCTCTGTTATTCAATTAGGAAGTTCCAACTGCTTTGTCTTCCAGTTCTCTGACTGTTTCCTCTTCCCCCTCCACTTTCCTATTGAGCCTAACCAAAGAACTTTTCATTTTGGTTTTGTACTTTTCTGTTATCAAAATTTCCACTTGTATTTTCTTTTTATCTTCTATTTCTTTGCAGTATTTTTCTACTTTTTCACTTGTTTCAAGAATGTTTGTAATTGCTCAGTGAGGCATTTTTATCACGACTGATCTGTGACCTGTAGCAGTAAGTCTAACACCTTTGATCATCTCAGTGTTGACATCTATTGCCTTTTGTTACACACCTTCCTGCTTCTCGGTATGAAAAGCCACCTTCGAATGAAACCTGGATATGTTCATACTGTGTTATGAGACTGTGGATCTTACGGAAACCCTCTGTTTTCACTGGCTTTCTGTGACCCTGCCCCAGCAGGGGAAGCTCACGGGGTGGAAGGCACCACACTTCACTGCTGACACGTGGAGGGAGAAGTCCAGGCTCCCCGGGGCCGTCACGGAGGAGTCCTCATCAGCCTTGGGTGGAGGTGGGAGTGCAGGCTGACCGACAAGGCACTGGGAGCTGCCGCATCACTGCTGGGCGGCGCTCGGAGGCGTAACTCTCTAACACACCTCTGCTGACACCACCTCACTGCTGCTGGGTGGGGATCAAGCTCCAGGTGAGAAGCCGAGGCTCACAACCAGCGAGGAGGGAAGACGCGCCAGCTCTCTGCTTGGTCTCCTCTGATACCACACCGTGGTGCTGCTGAGATGCTCTCTTCTCGTGAGGATGAATTCTAAGCTCATTCAGCCTCTTCAGGTCCGGGTTGGGGTAACGCCAGTTTTTCTGTAGTATTTGGCTAAAAGGGAGTAGACTGTGTCTAAAGAGTCTCCTATCTTGCCAGGCTGTTCTATTCCTTCTATTCCTGGTCTTTCAGCTAGAGACAGCAGATCTTTGTCAGACTGTGTGTGTATGGGCACCCTCCTACACCCTGTTGATGCCTACAGGCTACTGGCTTATCCAGTACTCAGTGTGGGATATAAAGCAAGCAGAAAATCCAAGAGACCTGCCACTATGCCATTCTTAAGGAACCAAAGTACCTAGACGTCTTCTCCCTACCTTTCAGAGTCTTGTGTTTTATAGGTCCAGGGTTTAATGGGAGAAATAGGGGAAAGTATGTCCACTTTATCTTCCTGAAAGTAGAAATCCTCCTCAATTTTATTTTTATAGCCACTTCATCTATCTCTAGAATGAATGATGAGGGGGACTTTCCTGGTGGTCCATGGGCTAACACTCCCAATGCAGGGAACCCGGGGTCCCCCCTGGTCAAGGAAAGAGATATCACATGCTGCAACTCAGAGTTTGCATGCCACAACTAAACTCCCACATGCCACAACTGAAAGATCTCGCAAAAGGCAAATGGCTTCCCTGATGGCTCAGAAGGTAAAGAATCCACCTGCAATGCCAGAGACCTGGGTTTGATCCCTGGGTGGGGAAGATCCCCTAGAGGACGGCATGGCAACCCACTCCCATATTCTTGCCTGGAGAATCCCACGGACAGAGGAGACTGGCGGGTCGCAAAGAGTTGGACATGACTCAGCAACTAACCCTTTCACACTTTCATATGACAGCTAAGACCTGGTACAGCCAAATAAATAAATATTTTTAAAACAATAAATGAAGAAAATGATTAGGAAAATAATACTTCATTTGTCGCTATCAAACTTGATCTCTGGCAACTGATTTAGAGAATCTAAAACATAAGACAAGCAACAGTTAAGCTTTTAGAAGCTTTGGGATTTTACTTGGCCTTTACTTGAACATAAACAAAAGTGTGATGTGGGAATCAGAAAGTCACTGTAATCTCAAACTCCAACCAACACAGAAATTAGCCTATCTGAAGCACTTTCCTCAGCTCTGAGTACCAGATTTTAAGATGCAGTAAACCAATGATAAACCCAAAGAATGAGACTATAGTGGTTCCAGAAGACAGAAAGAACTAGAGATACTTCATCTGAAGAAAGAAAAGGGGAACTAAGGAAAAAGGATTATGTAATAGCAACTTTTAATATGTATTAGGCTCACAATTTTAAAAAGAGGCAGAAAAGCACGGTCACCTAAATTGACTTCTTATATTATACATCAGAATTTTCTAACAATCTGAACTGCCTAAAAAATAATGGCCTGCTGTACTATCCTTTGTTCCCCGATATCAGAAGTATTGAAATGAAGACCGTATGTCCACCAGCTGGAAATATCGCTTGGTGGATTGCTTCAGTAGGAGACAGACTAGTGATTTTTAAGCTATGATTAATGGTGCTGCCTGAAGTGGTACTGTGGAGGTGGGGTGTGACTGCTGCTGAGCTGGCAAAACGCCTGATGTTCCCACCCGGCTTCAACAAGACCTTCCACTTACATACCCAGCATCTGCAGCGGCTTTTATTAGGGGACGTGGAAGTGAGTTGGAGAAAAGGATTATGCTTTAGAGCAAAAGTTAAAAAATGACTGAAGTGAAGACAGGAACTAAGGCGTCTTTGAACCTTCCATTCTGTGATCAATTCTCAGCTACATTCCAGAAAAGTAAGATCATCATCTTATTACAGAATTACTGCAGATGACATTAATATATGTGATTTTAAAAGTCTTGTTTTTTTTTTTGTAATGGGGCTGTTAGAATGAATGAAGCTCTCTTTGCTAACTGTGTCAGCACAGCCTATTGTGGGCCTGGGGTGAATTTTTGTTTTTCCTCTGAAAAAAACTGATAAACTAAATGCCTTTTTATTAAAAAATAAAAAGTAGCTTCAGAAAAGTAAGCCTTGTAAACACAAGAAGTTATACATTTTAAACTTGTACTTCTATCAAGGAAAGAATAGAAAAAATTAGCTGTTACATTAACTAGATTCTAAGTGAACACACTATATTATCAAAATAAGCATATAACTTTTGCAAAATTAAAGGCAATTTGTTAATTATTAGAATAGCAAAAATGGGCAATACTATATGAAACTTTCTAGACACCTGAATCTTTAGTAAACTACCTCATAATGAAAGTTACAGATCATTTCATGATTCATATCCATACTAACAACAGTGACCACAATAGTTGATCTACAGGAACTTTTTTTGAATTATTAATCTTACCAAGCTTAAAAAATTCACAGATTTCAGAATCATCTTTCTTACTGTCATTCTAGTGGAATTCTTAGCCATAAAATAACTAGAGATTGTATTCTCAACACAGCAGTCCACTGGCTTCTATAGAAATAACATTTATGGTGAAGAAGTCAGTCTAAAGGTCTATGATGTGTATTTTGCTGAGGCATGATTCAGAAGATGGCAGAGATGTGCCACTTATATAGTAGTGAGTCTACCCCATCACTCAGCATGGCTAGATCAACATGGTTTGCTTTCTTTGTAGTTTGTGTATTTTGTGAACAAATTACATGCTAAATGGTATACCAAATCAAGGGAATTGAGGTCTTACGATAAAACCTTTGTGGAACATTAAGATACCTCAAACACCACTGTATTTCATACGTTTTAAAGTATTATTTGTAAATTTACATATAAAATTTTAAAAATGATAGCACAATATAGTAACTATGAAAATATTTCAAAATATTTTCAGACATTTTTCTTTCATAAAAACTTATTTTCTCATAAAGGATAATGTGGAAAATTTAGAAAATATTGAATAGCAAAAATAAGAAAAATAAATAACCCTTTAAATATACAGAACAATGAACTTTAACAGAAAAGCACCAGTGGTTTTTACGGATCCCATTTTAAGATGCAAAGGGCTGAATGAATTCAGATTTTGTTACCCCATTTAACATTTAATTAAATTCAACCGTTTATTGTAAGACTACAGGACTGCTCAACTGATTTAAATAATTATACTAAAACTTGATGCTTTCAGCACTAAAAAGCAAAAAACAGAATTAATTTCAGATTAAATTTGAGATGCTCACAAACTGTATCACCAAAACGTTACTTATTTGAAATTACTATACCATTAAGATCCTAAAGATAATAAAAACTTAAGTGAAAACATCTAATGATCAAATTTCCTTTAGGGAAACTAGGCAACAGAATTAATGTGATAAAGTTATCATTTTTCACTACTAAAATTTATATACTACATACTATTTCTTGATGCTATAAGCTATATTTTACAGATGTATATTTTTAATTTAAAAGTATCATGTCTGAAGGAATACAGTTTTCATTTTTTCTATTAAATTTTAAGAGATATATGTTTCTGACATAAATACATTTACTGATTTTTTTTAAAGTCCAGCATCTCCTTTACATTGTTCTTCCACTTACTGCTAAATTTTCCAAAGATTTTGAATTTAATGAAGAAAAGATTTAGCAAACAATGCCTGGTGCTCCTCTGTAAACTGATTAAAATGCCAACTAGTAATCCTGAAGATGAGTTACCTTTTAATTCAAGCTTTTATTTTAATTACATATAGAAAGTGAATCTGCTTCTTGTATGTGGCAATTAATATTCACCATTTTTAATGCATCCTGGAAATGGGTATAAATTGAAGACTAGGACATAGCCAAAAGATTAGGTGTTCTAAAATCAGTTTTTTGTTTCTCAAGATGCTGCAGTCTAAATCACACTAAACCGTATAATTTCTAAAATCTCAAGCTTATTAATCACAGAACTGTTGGAAGAATAAACAATACATTAGCGCTATTACCTTTCAGTCGGTGACTTAGAATCTGTTCCAAAATGGCTGCAAAGTTGTTAAATTCAGGAGAAGAATCATCAATTGTCTCAAAGCAGGACCGGTCAATCAGGGTCTTCACAGAAAACCTATGGGGGAAAAATTTATTACTGCTTTTAAGTAAATGTGATTCATTCACCGAGTAGGAAAAATGGGAGGAAAGCCATCTAGAGAAATATTACAGGAATGTCTTAAAAGATTATATGCTCCGAAAACTCCATTTACTCAAATTCACTCTGTACACAGAAAACTTTACAGAAATATCAGCCTTTTTGACTTATATATTTACTATCTGTCGACTGCATTAAGACTTAGAAATAGTCCACTGTCCTCAGAGCCATTAAAATCAGAATAAACAAAATGACCTAAATCATTAAGTCCAGAGCCATAATACAACTTATAAGAGTTTAAGCATCAGACCAAAATGCTTTTAAGAGTTTTGGAGAACAAAATTGATTAAGATAGGATTTGAGTATTCACGAAGTGTAGATCCCAAGTTTTTATGAACTATAACAGGAAAACTTACAACTCTGTAAAGTACACTATATTTTTCCTTCTCTTCAGAATGTCCTTTGTCTCTATTTCTGACTGCCAAATACCAATGCATTTCCCAAGACTGAGCTTAAATGCCATCTTCTCAATGAAGAATTATCCTCTACATATTCCTACCTCAAAGTAGCATCTTGTTTGTAGCTCCTTTAAGAGATGATTACAACTTATCTTACTGCTATTACTTGTGTTGTCTATCTCTATCTATCTTATTAGAATACAAATTCCTTCAGGGCAGAAGCATATATTTTGTGTGTTTATATCTTCCTTAGCACATAGGACAATGGCTTGAAAGATATACTCTGTAAGTACCAGTTCATATATTTGTAAGATCTACTTTGAGGGAAAGGCAAAAAGGCCAATGTCACAGTAAGACAAAAAAGAAAGTCCATGATTTCTAACATATATACCTTCCTGGAACCACAATCAAAATCACGATCTGGAGCAGTTCTGTTGTCCCTAGCACTTCCCTCATGTGATCCCTGTATCACTGGAAAAGACCCTGATGCTGGGAAAGACTGAAGCAGGAGGAGAAGGGCATGACAGAGAAGAGGTGGTTGGATGGCATCACCGACTCGAAGGACATGAGTTTGGGCAAGCTCTGGGAGATGGTGAAGCACAGGGAAGCTGGCATGCTGCAGTCCATGGGGTCGCAAAGAGTAGGATACTAATGAGCAACTGAACTGAATTGATCCCTTTATAAGCATACTATCCCTTTAGAGCCACACCCTATGAAGGGTGACTGTCTAAGTAAAGACAATCAGTAGCCTAGGAAGAGAAGGGGTAATGATGAGAGCTGTTAAATAATTAGAAAGGTAAACTATGGACTTCCCAGGTGGCACAAGTGGTAAAGAACCTGTCTGCCAATGCAGGAGACATAAGAGGTGCAGGTTCGATCCCTGGGTCCCGAAGATCCCCTGGACGAGGGCACAGCAACCCACTCCAGTGTTCTTGCCTGGAGAATCCCATGGACAGAGGAGCCTGGTGGGCTACAGTCCATAGGCTTGCAGAGTCAGACACAACTGAAGCGACTGAACACGCGTGCGCACGCACAGATACACACACACGCGGGAGATAAAGGAGCACAAATTGTTCCTTAGGTTTTAGGCTTATTGGCAATGCTCATTCAATCAGGACAAAAAATACAAGACCTAAGTATAAAGGCAAATATAAAGATACTTGTTTATATGAGTTACACACAGGCAGTCCTCCCTCTGCACATGAAAAAGTCTGTGCAAACTGAGATCATGCAGTGTGATCGCAATAATCAATAGAAACAATTACAATTATTCTGTGCCCTTCACAAATTTCTGTCAAAACATTAAAAACTCTCTGCCAGCTATAATGCACAGGGAAATGGAAAAAACAGTCAAACATTATTTAGTACACTGTAATTTAAAACATGAGCAACATTGAGAATTAGGGTGTGTTCTTTGTGAAAAAACTTATCTAGAATAGTTTGAAAAGTGTTTACTTTCTTCTCATTGTATAACTTAAAATATGAGTGAGTATGTTCTCTAAGCCTGGGCAAACTTTCATATGCTCTTCTAAGTTTGAATCAGTTCCAACATTTTACCCTGTGAATTTTCAGAGCAGTGAGAATCTCTGAGAGGCCCTATAATACTATTATTACATCTTTTTGTCATAACCACTTTGTTCATTTATATCAATGTTTCCTTCAATAATTTCCTCTGGCTGATTATCTAAATTCTCTTGAATGGCAGCAGTTTGGGCTTCCCTGGTGGCTCAGATGGTAAGGAATCTGCCTGCAATGCACAAGACCCAGGTTCGATCCTTGGGTCAGGAAGACTCCCTGGAGAAGGGAATGGCAACCCACTCCAGTACTCTTGCCTGGAGAATCCCATGGACAGAGGAACCTGATGGGCTATAGTCCATGGGGTCACCAAGAGTTGGACACAACTCTATTGGACTAACACTATTACTTTCAATCAACATTCCAATGATCAACTGTTTCTTCCATGGTTCCATTTATGTTCCATTCAAGTTTTACTTCCAGCATTATCACTTTGTTTCTTTGCCCCAGTGTCATCGTTGTTGGCCAATTTACTCTTTTAATTGTGCATGTCTACACAATGGCATGTGGGTTTACAAAAAGGAGACAAAGAAACAACATACCTGCAGGTTTTGATTTCTGTGTATGAACCAGTAACAGATGCATAGTGACCAATCCTAGACAGACTCTGAAGCAATGACGTGACTGGTCATTAACCATGATGTGCATTTGTTATTTACACAATGATCTGTCAGTTACCAGCAAAATTTTATTTTATGCAACTACTCACAATTAATATAGAAGTCAAAGTGTTAGCCACTTAGTCATGTCTGACTCTTTATGACCCCATGGACTGTAGCCCGCCAGGTGCCTTTTCCATGGGATTTCTGAAGCAAGAACACTGGAGTGGGTATCCATTCCCTTCTCCAGGGGATCCTCACAAACCATGGGTTGAACCCAGGTCTCTTGCATTGCAGGCGGGCTTCTCTTGTGCTCAGGTGGTAAAGAATCCATCTGCAATGGAATCCAGGGAGACCTGGATTCGATCCCTGGGTTTGGAAGATCCCTTGGAGAAGGGAATGGCTACTCACTCCAGTAACCTGGCCTGGAGAATTCCATGGACTGCATAGTCCATGGAGTCGCAAAGAGTTGGACACAACTGAGTGACTTTCACTTTCTTTCTTTACTGCCTGAGCCACCAGGGAGCTGTTGTTGTAGGGACTGCTATTATTAAATTAAATTCTAGTAACTAAAGTCAGTGCAAACGGGAACTGTGCAAAGTGAAGACTGCCTTACAGTCCTCAAACCAAAGAAACCCATTCCATGTTAGCATAAATATTTTTATTAAAACTATATTTTTCAAAACTAAAAGTGGTAATAGTATTATTTAAATCTTTGCAAATATCTTTAGTGTTGTACTTAACAGACAATAACTAGCATCTCACATCTGTTTCCGCATCCAAGCTATTCTAATATCACACACCATATAGTCTCTGGAAAACTTCACTTACACTTGGTTTAAAAACGGGAGCAAAAAAGCATATAATATCCCGGACATGTTAAGAAAATATTACTGATGTTTCAGACCTCTGAAAGGGTCTGAGTTCAGGAGAACACTTTGAGAGCCACTAGCCCATGGTATTCTTTGTATGGAATGAAATAACAATGCAACTAGAATGGTAGTAATTACACATCCTTGAGAAACTAGTTACTCATATTTCAGTCTTCTTTGGTTCAAATAAATCTAACCCAAAAAGGCTGAGACAGACTAATGTTCAACTACAGTACTATTTACAGCAACTGGAGCTCCATGGAGGAGCCACTATGTAAAAGACACAGACAAAAAAAGAATAACTATGAAGTAATTGATGGAAGTTTGTCTCTTGTATCTAATAGAGAAGTTAGATAAATACTATATGTAATGCATCAGTATATGAATAGAAATAAAAACAAAGTAAAACAAAATCAAATTAAAGCAGGGACTTGAAATCCACTTTTGTTTCCTATGCCCTTTTCATTGACAATACACTAGAAAAGTGCTGTCAATCTTCAGCAAACTTTTAACAATAACAGAAAAGTTTAATGTTCTTATTTCATAAGAGAAAGAAATGCTAACTGTTCCTAAAATGAATAAATAAAAGCCTTATAGTCTCCACCTCCATCTTTGACCTAAAAAGAAGGAAACTTCTGAATGTTTCTCTCTAATCTTTAATAGAACAGAATGGAAAATCTAACTCTGCAATCACATTCAAGGTAGCAGTAATCTACCTCAATTTCAAAAAAGTATGGCATTTAACGAAGTAAGCAGACAGCTGAAATGAACTGAAAATGATATTTAAAGATAATAACAGAGTGCTTATTTCACCAAAAAGAGCTAGAACTCAATCTCTACCTGTAACAGCCTGGTAAGACTTCAGCCACTACTGTCCTCCAGGAATAACATAAAATTACCTAACAAATGTTCTTTGTAAATGTAATTGGAAGGAAAAGTCAAGGAGAGTAAGATATATATTTTTGTAGCATCAAGAGCCCTGTACAGATCAATCAATAGTCAATAAAATATAAATCTTTCTGTCATGTTGTTATAGCAGAATATCTCCTATAGAAGACACTATGTGCATGACAAAAATCTAAAATGGTGAATCTTGGAGCGTCAGATTACTTGTAAGTCAATATGTGACTAAAAACTAAAACAAAAGCAAAGTGTAAATATCCTAAAGCATATCATTAGACACATTTTCTATTATTTTCAAGCATGGAGATACTTTAAGCCTGAGAAAGTATTTCAAATAATTCTATGATAACAAGGTTAATAATGAAGAAATTACTGTTTCCCAGCATTGCTTCATCATTTATAGCTTGTTCTCCTTGTGTCAACACAAATAAAAACTTCAGAAGGCAAATTAGTTCTTTAGAGTCCATGCTTTTACTTCTAGCTAGCCAAGTCTTCCCATTCAGCATTTACTTCTCTAGAATTATGCGGCTAGCTCCATTATGCCAGAACAGTGAGAATCTTTTCCTCCAAAA